TTAGTTACAAAACATGTATCAGAATGCTGAAATTCGTACCTTGTCTAGTGGTCCATTGAAACATGGTATATTAAGCATTTCTAATGTAAATCACCAGTAGCCTGATTGTTGAAATCTTGTGTTTGTCGGGTGGAAATTGATGACATAGGTTGAATGGCGAAGCGTGATTGGTTGGCTATGTCTTACCGTTGCTATGTCTTGCTTTTTTGGGTGGACTGGACAACATACTGTCGGATACTTAAGAGGTGCCTTTAGTTTGTCGTCCATTCCACCCGACAAAGCACGACAAAGCAACGAAAAGACATGGCCAACCAATCACGCTTCGCCATTTAACCTAGGTCATCCATTTCCACCCGATAGACACACAATTTCAATAATCAGGCTGCAGGTAAAAGAAGTAATATTGTAAGTGGTTTCGTATCCGTGTCTTTCCTCAATTTCATAGATACTTTTGACTTTTGAGGAGTCATGTCACTCTTAAAGTGCAGGTCGTTTTGCAGTTTGTCCAACTTGTAAAGGATCTGGCCGGAATCAACCAAACTACATCAGACGTTGCTTACCTCTCATGCAAATGTATATGTATTTTTTTTAATTAATATTTTTGTTCTTAACAGAAGACGAAACAAAATTTTGATTCAGTAAAGTAGAGAGGAGTCAAGTCATATATTCGAGAAAAACTGAGCTAGGCGGTAATGTTGAAAATGAAAATTTCATTCGTGTCTTATTTTCCTTATCCATTTCAAAATTGAATGAAGACATATTTTAATAAACGCTCCAAATTTTTGTGAGGTCTTCATTGCATGATTGAAAAAAAAATGTGCCTGGTCATTTAACCTGCGTGGCTCTACGTATTTATTTGTACATTGACTACCATCTTATCACTGAATCTCATCCACATGACATCTGTGGTGAAATGGTGCGACTCTGAGTAAGCCAACCCAGTTAGGGCTGTGCATCGACCTTTGTGTTGAACAGATCTAACTCGAAGTTTTGCATCGATCTTTGAGGTACACACCAAATACAGGGACGCTCTGCACAGTCGGAGTATAACCCTAAAATCGCTGTGCACGGCACTAACTCGGTCGATGCGCAACACCTATTGCCGGGTTAGCTGGCTGAAAATAAGTAGTCTATTAATATTTGACACCTTTCTAATTATTTAGCCTGGTTTTTCCTGTCTTTCTCCCCCCCAGTGCCGTCCAATACCTTCGCTTTAAGAAAGTCCGCGTGTACAGCGCGTTCCTAAGCTGCAACGCCCTCTCGCGGTTGGTCACTCTGATCTCCACCGCGGCGGCGGTGTCGACCGTATTGTTGACGGTGTAGTATCCGTGATCGAGGAGGTGCTGGAGGACCCAGCGGGGGTACACCTCCGCCCAGCGGGGGTCCAATTCTTGGCGCCGCAGGTACCTCTTCAGGGCCACCAACTCGTCAACACTCAAAAACGTGTCATCGGTGACGGCCTCGAGGCGCGAGAGCTGCGTCAGCGACCTCTCGACCAGCTCAGAGATCTCGTCGAACTGGAAAGCGGCCAGCAGCGGTAGCGGGTGAGGGTCGGGGTACGGGCGGAACCTGTCGTGCTCGAGGTAGCGGAGGACTGAAAGAGGGCGGAAGACGCTGTAGGTGCCCTCGACGCGGTAGCGGTCGTACCACTGCCTCATTCTGTCCACTTCTTTGCCCCGGCGGAAGGTGGTGGCAAGGCGCTCTACGTGCGCCGCAGAGAAGCCGTAGTACTTGGCGATGGCCGGGTGGTCAAAGTTACGGAGGTAGACGAGGCCGTTGGCCACGCGGGTGTAGGTACGGCCCAGGAGGGAGCAGCCAGTCACGAGAGAGCGGTCCACGTGACCGCAGTTCATCATGCCTTTGACGAGCCGCCCCAAGAACGCCACCATCTTGCGGAGGTCCCCGTCCGAGCAGCACGGATCCTCCAGCGCAGACATTAACGGTTGATCGTGCTCCTCCAGGAAGAAGATCACCTGCGCAGATACAAATAATGAAGAAGAGACGGGAAGTGGCGCAATTGCTAAGGTATACATAGGAAAGGTTACAGCCTCAATGAGTGGCAGATATTGCGTGGATGCATAGCCATATCTCTATCCTTTAAGGAGGAACTTGCGCTATGAACATATTATAGGGAGAGAATCATAATATCGAACAAGGTTGTTTGCATTTCACTGAATTGAATGAAATGTTAGAACTTCCTCCTTGTAATATTTCCTTACTTTGCCTCAGGCTAATCTACTGCTTTTCGTCGGGAAAAGTACTCGGGAATTTGTGATGATCTCTCTCATAAACATCTCTCCTTCATTATTTTTGCTGGAATCTTGTGTTTTTACGTTCCACTTCACGAGAGCAGAAATGTGTACCCTAATTCGCGAGTTCGTGTTAAAATCCACCTGGGTGTTTTAATGTTTTTGGTTTTTCTTCGGACTCTCTCACTTCGATTTTATTTGAAAAAAGACAAATAACCTGTCTGCCGTGGTAGGCACGGAGGAGGCGGGCGAGTTGGGCGGCGGAGCCTGCGTGGAGGAGGCGCGACGGGTCGGCGAAGAGCGTGGGTGTCCGGTTGGCGGTGACCAAGTACTGGTGCCTGCGGAACTCGCTGTGTAGGAGGTCGGTGAAGGAGCGGCGGAATGCGGCGTAGGTGGAGACGTCGAGGGCG